CACACAGGCAGGCGCCCGCACCCCCTCACACAGGCAGGCGCCCGCACCCCCTCACACAGGCAGGCGCCCGCACCCCCTCACACAGGTGCAGGGGGCTTGAGAAAGGGCCGCGGGAATCCAGACTCCCCTTCCAGACGTTTATTTGTTTCTTGCTATGAAAAAGGACCCTTCCAGAGGCTCCTGACTGAATGCCATTTTGACAGGCATTTTCAAAAAATACAGCGGATATTTTTTGAAAGCTTTGTTCTTAAGGCACACGGTCCTAGGAATGTCCCCGAGTCCCCCAACCCAAGAGCACCCAGGTGACAGGGTGTGAGCTTCACTGCTGTGAGCGAGAGTGGTCCTCATAGGAGGCACTGGGGAGGGAGTGGGGGGGTCTGCCGGGCAGGGGTCCTGGACACGCCACCACAGGCGAGCGAAGACAGAAGCTCTGTTCTTGGGTGGCTACAAGCTCCAGGCTCCCTCCAGAACATGCTCATTTTGGGTCTCACAGCACCCTGGAGCAAGGCTATTTAGGTCATGTTGAAGGGGAAACAGGCTGAGAGTGCTGCACAGCTTGCTCAGGTCACCCCTCCACAGACTGTCCCCAGGAGCTCCCAGGGGAAGGGCGGAGGCCTCGGGAATCACCGGCACCCCACGTTCCTGAGGCACGAGGCCATCTGCACCCTCTCTGCTTTCTGGGAAAATGCCCCTGCCCGTGGGAAGCCAAGCATGCTGGTCCACATGGGGTCACCAGAGGGGCGCTGAGGGGTCCATGTGAAGGTGTCCCCTGGCCTCCACTCTGTCTTAGGGTGAGGTCTGGTGGGGGTCTCTCTGCAACCTCTATGGAGGCCACTCTGCGGGTGCTTCTCCACAACACCAGCCCGAGGCGTCCTCCACACGGCTGTCTGTTCAGCATTAGAGGCAGGTGCTGAGTGGGGCTGTTGGAGGGTCTGTGGGGGCTGGTTGCCGTCCAGGTGCTGTGGTGGGGAGCTGGCCCAGCTGAGCCACCATGGGTGGCTCGCAGTCTCACGCTGGTGGGGCCCCAGATTCCAGACTCATTCTGGAACTTCTCGCTCCCTCCCTCCTCCTCACTCAGCTTCTGGAAGGCACTGAAGATGCCACTTCACCACCTCAGGGCCCTGGGGGCAGGAAAGCGCAGCAACAAGACAGGCCCGAGGGAGCTGGCTGTGGGCCACGCACAGCCTCCTGCCCCACAGACACACGCCCTCAGCGGGCCTCGAGTGTGCAGGGCACACGGGCGTGCTCCGTCCAGCCGCTGCCTCTGAGCCACACCCAGAGGCTCTGCCGGGCCCAGGCTCGCCATGTGCACACTGTTGAGCGACCCTCTGAGCAAATCAGCTGCCCCTGGACTCCCTCTGGGTCCACTGGGCCTGGATGCCCACCAAACACAGTTCTCACCTTTGAGACCTAAAGAATCACCTGGAAGCGTTAGAAACACCAGGTGCCCACACTGCACCTGAGACCGGTAAGTCAGACACTCCAGGGTAGGGCCCAACATCGAATTTGTTCAAGCTCCCAGATGACTGCCATGGCGGCCAAGGTGAGGAATCCACCTCCAGTGAGTCCGCCCGGGTGCTCGGTCCCCGCTCCCGCCGGCGGCCCCCCACCGGATCAACAGTCACACATGGGCGCCTCCTCCCCGCCCTGCCCCCTTCACCTTCTTGTTCCCTCCGCCAGGGACATGAGTGATGTTATCCAGGGACCCGATCTTGGACTGGACTCTGTCCTTGAAGTCCAGCTTCTCAGATTTCACCTCCACCTGGCCGCCTCCTGGAACACAGCACACACAGAACACGGTGTCTGACAAGGCTAACGAGGATTCCACGCAGGCACCAGCCTCTAGGGGCGGCTGCTTCACGCTGAGAAAGGGGGCTGGGCACAAGCAAGTCCCAAGGGGCTTGAAAACCGCTTCATCTCCCTGGTACGGTGTTTCATCAAATATTTACTCAGCAAACACCTTCTCCTTAAATAATGCAAAAGGAAATGATGGCCCCGTCCAGGGAAAATGATCCCAAAGAGTGACGTCTACCGATGCCAACATCCAGTGAGCTTCGGCCCACACGACCTGGGGACCACATGGAACACCCAGGGTGCCCTAAGGACGGGGCCTGGCCAGTTCCCTCCTCCCTGCCGGACGCCACCCACAGGCAAGCGCGGGACATGGGCGTGCGGCCTGAGGAATGACAACCCGCATCACCCTTGGGAAGGGCAGGCCTGCCTGTGGGCGGCTGGGATACCAGAACCCCCGCAGGACGTCCAGGCCCAGGCAAGCGGGGGCCTGGGCCTCTGGTGGCCTTGGCTGCCACAGCAGTGGCTCAGCGAAGGACCTGCTCTGTCCTCGGGGGAGGTGGACCCTGTTCCTGCCTTAACAGCAGCCAGAGCCACGCCGCCACCGGCCTTGTACTTAGCTCAGTCCCTCAGCTGCACAGCCATGTGTCAAGGCTCAAGAGCCCCACGTGGCCGCGGCTAGGGTAGTGGCCGCCCCAGACCATGTCCTTTATTGGAGGAAGATGTACAGAGAACGCTGATTTCTGTGTGTGCACCAGGGAGGCCCTCAGAGCTCCCCGAGGCTCATCTGTGACACTTGGGCCCTCCCTGGTGGTGCATTGGGTCAGGACGCAGCATTGCAAGGTAGCACAGCTGCTTCAGTGTGAGTTCGATCCCCACCCCGGAGGTGACTCACACGGCGCAGCAGACCTCTCCTGACCCTCCCACTGCTCCCTCAGCAGTGTACTTCATCGCTCTGCCTGTCTTGCTCCCCACTGTCTCTGGTGACGCCTCTCACCACCCCTGCACCCCTGTACCCAGTTCTGTATGCACACATAAAAAGATCTTTAAAAAAAAAATAAAGGCAGCATGGCAGTGCCCAGGGCCCGACGTGATCCCTGTGTCAGCCGGGGGCCCAGCTGGCCATCCACACACCCTGGCGCTGCCACCTGGAAGCAAGGGTCAGCTGCCCGGGCCTCGCTGGGCCGGCTCAGGAGCAGAGCGCAGCCGCTGGGCCCGCTCCGCCCCCGCATGCCCCACCCCAGGCCGGCCTTCCGCAGGGCTACCTGGCTTATGGTGGATGTTGCCCAGGGAGCCACACTTAGAGGTCACCTTGCTCAGGTCCACGGGTTTGTAGACTATTTGCACCTGGAGGTGAGAGAGGACGAGCGTGAGAGAGAACACAGGGTTATTTTTATGGGCCCACACAGGCAGAGCAGCTGCTTGCCCTGGGCACTGCCCACAGCCGGAGGACACCCTCGGCTGGGGGGGATGAGCCGCTGGCACCCTGCCGCTCCGCCCCGATTCTGGCCTGAGAGGAGGTCCCGGGAGGGGCTTGAGGAGGCTCCCTGCGACCCAAAGCACTTTGGGGGACAGCAGCGGAGCCAGGACCGGCAGAGAGAATCTGGGGCCGGCAGGGGGCTTCCTGCCCCGCAGAAGCCCCTCCCCGAGACGGCGAGAGCCCAGCGAGCAGGACCCCGGGCCACGCTGGCATCTGGGCACAGGGCCGGCACCTCGGCCCTTGGCGGAAAGGAGCAGGACACGCAGGACGCGAGCGCGCAGCCAACATGTGCAGCTCAGAGGCCTGGACGGGCTCCACGCGGGCAGCCAAGGGCCGGCGCGGACCCAGACTCAGGAGCCCCCGCCACCTCCGAGGGCAAGGAGCCCCGGAGCCGCCCCCCGACCTGGGCCCCAAACCAGCAACCAGAGGCCGGACTGCACTGGTAGACGGGTTCAGGGCCACCCCTGCGAGGACTCCACATGGGTCCCCTCGAGGTGTCTCTGCCAAATTGTGGCTGCCAGTGGGTCCCCAAGACGGTCACTGACTGACACTTCCCAGAGTCCCTGGGGCCTTCAACAGTGACCTCATGAGAGGCCATGAAACGTGGGGTGTGTAGGAGGCCAATCGTTCGGCAGAGAGATGGGTCTCGCAAGGACACCAGGGAAGAGGGGGACTTCTGCTGGGGTGTGACTCATCTGGGATAAGCAATCCCTGCCTCTGTCCTTTGATCAAAGGCCTGCTGGCCTCTGCTGTTACTGGCGGAGAGCTGATGGCGGCCAGCAGGTGCACACGGCGTGGTGCGTGGGGGCTGTGCCATGCGGGAGCCTGCACCCCAGAGACATTCTGCAAACAGGTCAGGGGTTGGGACCTGGAGGAGGCAGGGGGGGCCCTGGGACTCCTAGCGAGAGGGAGGCAGAGGGGGCGGAGTAAACCTTCCTGGCCAGGTACCCAGTAAGCAAGAACTGGGCAGGTCAAAGGGTGCGGACGTGGGGTGGGGGAACAAGCCCGGGCCCTGCCTGGAGGGAGGATCGAGGGGTGCAGGGGGAGCAGGCCTGCCCACAGGGAGCCACCTCAGGCAGCAGAATTCAGGGAGACAGGCCAGAGACAGCGAGGCAGACACTGCAGGAGCCTGTGACCCCCCCGGCCCCTTCCAGCAGCAGAGCGAGGGTCAGCCTGGGACAGCGGGGCTCTCTGCCAGTGGCAGGCGGGGAGCAGGATAGATGAGAGGTACCCCAAGAAGGCCCCTCGAGGGCCTGGGCACCGCAGTTACTTGAGGTGATCCACTGCCACCCCCAGTGGGAAGGTCCTCTCCTCTCCCTGCTCCCAGCTTCCACCCCAGGAACCGAGGAACCAGTCTGTTGCTAGCAGCCCACGGGTGCCACGTCTGGGCCCCAGTGAGCACAACCCACCACGAGTCACCCAGACGCGCATTAAACCAGAGAGCGCACGCTGGCATCCTCTGGCAGCCCTGCACCTGCCGGGAAGCCAGAGAACCAGGAGCCAGAGCAGAACCAGCAGCGGGAGCCCAGGAGTGGGCGCAGGGCTGGGACCTCCCACACCTTCGCTTCCCTCCTTTTGGCAGAAGACAGGGCAGGTGGGCTGGGCCGGGCAGGGCGGGAGACACTGAACAGACACTGGGTGGAAGCGTTAATGAAGCGCCATGCAGCAGCAGGTGAGCACGCTGGAAGCTCGGGACTTGGCGGCCACGCCAGGGCCAGGTGCTGGGGCGGGAGGCAGCCCTGCATTGCAAGAATAAACCCTCGGGGCTGGACGCAAGTGAAGTGGGGTCCAGGCCGGTCATTTGGGGAAGGAAACCCACCCAGGAGGGGCTGCAGAGCTGCCAGCCAAGAGCGAGAGGTCAGAGGGCCTCAGACTCTGCTCCCTGTTTGGAAGCCTTTGCTTACAGCTGGTGGGGGTTGGGGGAGGCAGGAGGGGCCGTGGAGAAGGGGACCTGAGGCTCCGGCAGGGTGCTGAGTGTGCACCCCAGTTGGTGAGCATGGGCCGGTGCGGGGAGCACGGGGAGCTGTGAGAAGGGAGGGTGCCAGCCCAGATCTCACAGGGACACAGCAGGACAGAGGGAGGACCCTGCACAGCTGGAGGCGTCCATTTCAAAAGGGACTAAAGCCTCCTTCCTCTGTCCACTCTCACATGGGCAGCCCCCCCCCAATTCCCCTGGTGCCCACACTCTGGGATCTGGAGTCGCTGCCAGGGCTCAGCTGTCTGACACCTGGGAGCTCACGCCTCCCAGATGCAGGAGACGGACGAGGGAAGCAGAGTTCACAAGGTGCGCCCTCTTGCCCACTCTCAGGACAAAGGGGAGCCCTCAAAGTGTCCCTGCAGGGGACCTGGAGGGATGACCGGGCCTGGGCTTAGGTGTCCCATTCAGCCCACTGCAAACAGGCTGAGGGGCTCCGGGGGCCAGACAGGCTCGTGCTGGGCTTTCTGCAGGAGGCCAGTCAACTTTCCCTCCTGCTGGGCAGCTGGCACCCGAGGGGGCCTCCGAGCACAGTGGACACGTGTGTGGGAGCCGGGCCTGTGTCTACTCGGGACACGGGGGCCCCTGGGCCTGCGATGGTTTATTCTGTGCAATGCCTCGCAGCGTGGACGCCCATGCCACTCCCGGACCCCCGAGCGCAGCCGGGCGCAGGGAGAGTGTGAAGGTACTCACACTGCCACCTCCAGGCACGTGTTTGATATTATCCTTTGAGCCACACTTGGACTGGACGTTGCTAAGATCCAGCTTCTTATTAATTATCTGCACCTTTGACAGCCAGAAAAGAGGATGAGTGATACACCCAGCGGACCCACCGTCTGCTGATCGCTCTGCTCGCTGACCTCAGATGGGGAGAGGCCCTGCCCGGAAGTCCCTCCCAGAGCTGCCCTGGATGCTGAGTGGTTCGTGTTGGGCCTCCTTTACAGCAGTGGGTTTACAAAATGGATCCATCGCGGAGGGTTTAAAAAGGCAAAACCAAAACCGTTTTCTTGCCCCTCTAACATGACCACTGTGGCATAAAGTAACAAAGTAACAGCAGCCGCCCAGTGCAGATGTGGCAGTGACCACCGCAGACACTGTCCCATGCAGCCTCACGGCCTGCCTCCCCGGGGGCACCGTGTCCCTGCACCCCCAGGTCACAGAGCAGCAGGAGCACATCTCTGCTCTCACGAGCCTGTGTCTGTCCGTTTTACATGATATAAATGCTCCAGCGCGGACATCTTTGTGCAAGCTTTGTCCACAACAGATTATTTTCACAGCATAGAAATTAGAGTCTCAGCAGGAGAATTTCTGGGTGACAGTTACATCCTGAAAGCTCTAAATGCAACCCTCAACACGGCTTTAGGATACAGTAAAAGGAGTTTGCTGTTGGCTTAGTCTGTGTTTCTTTGTTGCTGTTCTCTTTTTATTTTTTTAAAGTATTTTTGTTCTGATGTCACCACGTATTGTATCTGAAGTGCTCTATATTTTTAACCTACTTCAGTCGAAGGCAAATTAATCTTGAGCTTGAAAAGCTGCATCTAAACAGCTTTTTATCTTGAGCTTTTCCACGAATAGAAAACAACCCTAACTCCCCTCTCTGAGTAAGATTCGACTCCTAGCTACACTGTCACATGCCTTTAGAAGAGCTAACTCATGCAATACAGATTATGCAAACACATTTCAAAATATAGCAAGTGATTAATTTAAATGTATTCATGTTTTTGCTGGCGGGTGTATTTTTTTTCTAACATTCAAATATTTACAGTTTCATATACTCAAATTCTCCCTTTGTGATTTCTTCTCTGCCTTTTCAATATAAATACAAGAGCCTCTAGAGGTCGCAGAAATATCTGTTGGAGGAAGGAACATCTGAGTCGTCAGGAGCTCCCTGAATTCCACCCCTGACGATTTTTACAGACTCCCGGCAGGTGTACGGAAGGGCTCTCCGCTCGAGAACTACAACTCCCAGCATGCCATGCACCTGACTTCCGGCTCGGGTCCTGGTTACTGAGAGCTGTGAGCAGGTGAGCAGGTGAGCAGCCGCGCTGGGGTTAGAACCTAACGCACGCGGATTCGGCTCTCCTGCTTTCCTTGGTTTCAGCACCCTGGTGTCCGACGGGTTACTTGCAGGCGTGCGGACCAGTTAATCTCTCTCTCTGTTCTCCCTCTTCTCAGTCCCCATTTTAAAATTTTATTTCTCTTTGCGCCCCTGCGTTTGGTTCTTATCCTGCCCCAGTTCTTAAGCACATGGATGGGGCCTCCCCCAGGAGCCCCAATTCTCCCTGGGGAGCCTGTGAAACACATGGGAACCCACATCACTCTGCTCACCCCAGGGCGGTCACCTACACAAAAGCGCAGACCTGGGCGTTTCCCTGACGGCACCTACCTGTGTGACAAGTTTCACCTGAGCGGTTCTTAAGTCGGTTCAAACAAAACAACCCTCTTGGCAAACTCTGGAGAAGTTCTCTCCTGCCAGCGGGGAGATATCTCTGCCTAGGCTCCCGCTGGGGTGG